CTCGAAAAACACGGGCCTGTATTCCGACGCACTCTCTCTCTCTCTCTCTCTCTCTCTCTCTCTCTCTCTCTATATATATATATATATATGTACACACACCCTGTATGTATACATACATGCATACATGTGTATATAAGGTTTTTTGAAAATAAATGAATAAATAAATAAATGAAAAAAAAATATATATATATATATATGCACTACGCAATGACATATCATAACATCCAAACCTGTACCGCTATTGTCAGTACCTCTTCTGACCAAGATCTCGTCAGCCATGGCATTTTTCTTCCCAACAAGGATTAAGCAGGCACTCCAAGGTGCGGAGCTTAACTGCGAATCCCGAAACCACTTCAAGCTTAGCAGTTTAGGGTTCAGGGTTCTACCCCACACCGTTGAGTCAGCTATCTTCGTACTGAAAATTGCTCACAGGCCGCCTGGAACAGTGGGTGGCGCCGCTCACCGCGAAGCCCTCCAGCCAAGAAGAGGCGGTTATATGTATACATATATCTATCGATCTCTTCATCTCTACCCTACATCTAGGCTTACCTTTCTTTCGACCTGTCTGTTCTACGCCTGTTTGTTCTTTCTATTTATCTTTATCGGTTTATCTTGGTCTCTCTCTTTCTGTTTTTCTCTTTCTCTCACTCTTTTTCCCACCCTCTCCGAAGATGAGCGTTTGGGCTTAGTACTAAACCCGAACACCTCAACCTCAGATCGCACTAGGGGCTATGGGAAGTTGACAGTGTAAGCCTCCAGGCAGACCTTCGCAGAGTCTGCGACTCCAAACCCGAAGCCAGAAGCCCAGTGCCAAAACCCCAAAGCCTCAACCTTGCACCTTGAACTCCGACATTATGAACCCTCCAAAGGCTCACACCCTGGAGTCGCGATTCCCCACACAAACCCTCAAATCTGGAAGCCATAAGCCCTTCACCCTAGACTCTAGACCTACCTGTACCAATGAGGCTTCTGACTGCTGAGCTTGGTAATGCGGGGTTTGGAAAACAAAGACCCTATGATCCAGGCTTCACCAGCCTGGCACGAAGACTACTCTCGCGCTGGTGTTCCTGACCGGGGCCGTGGAAGTTACTTTGGGTATGGCGTTCCGGTTGTGGGATGTAGGGTTTCTGTTGTCTGGTTTGCGCTTCTTCCAATTCAGGTTTGGGAGTGTAGGCCTAAACCTTCGAACATTCGCTGTCTTTACGGCTGGCGTGTGGGGTGCTTCAGGCTTCGGGTTTCTTGGTAGGAGATTTGGTCTTGGGTCGGGATGAGAGCCTGAAGCAGCCGGGCTTCAATATTGAAGTCTCGCACCGCAAATCCAAAGCCCCGCAGGACCTACATCATTGCCATCCGCTGTGAAGATGTGGGCGTGGCCAATGCTCTGGCCGGTTCTGTGATGGGATGCAGCCCGGCTCACTGAGTTTCAGGTGCGTCGCACCTAAGGGCTTGAAGCTGTAGTAGTCTTCCTAGAGATTTCTCCCTGTAGCATAGTGCCCCCTCCATACCCAAGCTCCAAACCAAAACCCCGAAAGCCCCAAAGCCACCCTCCTTGAGCCATCAACCCAAAAAACCTACATCCTGAAGCCGGCAAACCGTTGAAGCCCTGAAGCCCTATTTCCTCATAGAACACTTTGTACGCCCTACAGAGCCCTGTGATTGCCTCTAAAGCCCTACGAAGACCTTCGCCATCTTCCAGTATCCCTGCCAGTAACCCGTGTAGTGACCCTCATAGAACTCTCATGGAATCCGCGATGTTGACCCTTGCAGAACCCTTATAGTAACTCTCGAAGAGCCCATACAGAACTTTTGAGGTTTGACCTGCTTCTTCCTCCCTGGTTTGCTCTTTTTCTTGACGGTGTCGGTGCAGCTCCGGAGCCGGGTGGGTCTGCCACAGCCGCTCCTGGGAAAAGGAGCCCGCAATGCATAGGGGGGCTTTTCAGACTTTTTGTTAGGGGCGAGGTGTTCTGAAAGTAGGACTTTTAGGTGTGATCTGTGGAGATTTGTCTGGTTTTGGGTTTGAGCTTCTACAAATGTGCTTCAGACGATCGGCCAGTCCTATTTTAATTATTCGGGCCGCTTTGTTGCTCCTTTTGTTGCAACCCAACCGACAGCGCCCAACAGTTTGGGGGCACTTTCTTGAAAAGGCCTCTGCCGTTACCCCGAACCTCCAGACCAATCCAAACATGGCAAACGGCAAGGCCAGGAAGCCCGTTCGCTCGTTCTCGAAGCAGAATATATGATAATATGTTATTATGTACTGTTATGTACACGATGTTATACTCTAGTATTCTATCACATGTTATCATATACTATAACATAACAATGGTATACTGATGCAGAAGCTAATTTTGCCTTTGGGTTCCTTTCCGAGGAGCTCCCAAACCTGGCCCTGCGCTGCGCTTCGGGCGCAAGAGGGGGCTAAGTCTGGAGCGCTTCCCAGGTTGGGCTACGGTGTTTTTTGGGGTTTAGCTTGGCGGTTTAAGGGGGTGAAGTTGCAGGGCCAAGCCTGTGATACCTGGGAAGAGTTCGAAAGAACTGAGGCAGGATGTAGAATTCTAACATTGGGTGTCAAGATGGTGCCATCTTACGAAATTCTCATAGCAAAGCCTGGATGGAAGCTCTCGTACGCTCCTCGAACATGCTCTGGGGTTGCTCCATAAGTTAGGCCCACCTACCTACCTACCTACCTACCTACCTACCTACCTACCTACCTACCTACCTACCCACCCACCCACCCACCCACCCACCCACCCACCCACCCACCCATTTATTTACCCACCCACCCACCCACCTCATGCATGTGAGTTGATGAGTGTGGGCATCGTACATGCACTTCCTGGCAACCCCCACATCGCGAAGCCTTTGTGTGCAGAAAGAAAGGGAGAAACCGCCGAGGTACTGGAAGCTGCGCCTTGCCCAGGCTGCGGGCGCAGTCACCGCCTTCAGTGGCGTGCTGTTCACCATCATTGGCACAGAGCGGACCCCAGAGTTGCAGCTGTCCCGGACCTCGGGTGGTTTGGGAATTAAGGTTTCGGGTAGTTCAGGCTTCATGCAAGTTTTGGAGGGAGGGGCTGAGCTTGTCGGCATTTCCAAAGCATGTGTGTCATTCGCAGTGCTACAAAGGCGTCGAGAATCAAGTGAGCTCAAGAGGCTCGGGTAACTCCGCAGGAGTTTAGTCTGGCTGAATCGCCGCGCTTTGGAGCATGACCTGGGTAGCAAGAGCGGAGCCAGTTATCGATGTCTGCCCAGCAGCAACTAGCAGTACCAGCGGCAGCGGCAGCAACTTAAGCGCGATGATGCCAAGAGTCAGCCAAAGTAGCGGATGAAGTAGGCCCCTCCTGATAAGAGGAGAAGAAGAGAACGAAGAACGCCAAGAAGGTGAGAAGTGTTGTTGTTGGTTTCGCAGCCGCCACGTACTCTACGTCGTCGTGGCGGCATCGTCATGCTCATGGTAGTCGTTGGAAAAGCAGCAGTGATCAGATCAACAACATTCTTGTGACAGTGCTAATTCTCGTGCTAGAGTAGCATCTCTGGCAGCAGAAGCTAGCGTAGTAGCTGAAATGCTCCATCCCGCAAGCCCGAACCATTCAACAAGCATGTCAGGGACAAGCCTGCATCCGAGGCCGTAATCCTCGTGCACCACTGGGAGTGAGCTGATCCCACAAAGTCCCCAACCGTAGGTTCAGGGGTGTCTTCGTATGGGGCTATGGGGCTCCTTGGCTACAAGCAGTATGAGGTTTGAAAGTCTCAACGGCTTGGGGGGTTCTCAGGCTTTGGGGCCAGGGAGAAGCTCCTTGACAGCACTTCTGGTGGAGCATGTTTCACTGCAGTGACAGTTTTGTGGTCGCGGACCTATGTTTATACAGCTAGAGCACGATTTCCCGCCAGCCGGCAGTGCTCTTTAAAGAGAGCAAATCCATCCGTCCCGGCCAAGCTGGTTTGCGGAAATCCGCCACTGACGCGCAGGGGCGCACCTGCAGCTCAGTGAGCTTCACTTGGATTCCAGGGCCATAGGGCTTTAGGAAGTTTAGGGTTTTGGCCTTGAGGGTTTATGGTGTCTGAAAGAGAGATCTGGTGCTTCGAGTTAAGAGAAGGGGGTTTCAATCCAAGTGCCATCGAACAGTCCAGTTTCGGCTGAATGTGGCGTCCGAGCCAATCAATGATGTGCTTAAACAGGGTAGCAGAAAAAATCGTGGTTCACTTCTGTGGAGCTGTACCCTTGCAAGTGAGGACGCTGAAGACATGAAAGACCACGGTGGGGAAAGCTTCCAGCCTGAACTCCGTAAACTGGCCACCTCCACCAAACCTAAAACCCTCGCAATGCTGAGTATTGATAAAGATTGTAAAAACAAGACATAATAACAACAAAAAATAGTATTATTTATGACAGTAACGCTAACAGTAATAGTAGAAATAATGATGAGGATATTACTACTAGTAAATATTCGCGATAGTCAGACTTCTAACAAGATAAAAATTACAATAAAAACAGTGATGAACAGCAATACATGAACAGTAATAAAAGGAATGTACACATGAGTAATGAGAACAAATAATGAACAATCATTCAACGAGTAATAATACACATAGCAATCATGGCAATCATAGCATTGCTACTACTACCACTACCACCACCA